CTTAAAGCCCCAATCAGACTTATTTCTCTAGGTGATTTTAAAATGAGGTGCCACAGAGTGAGAGTGGACAAGCTGCAACATGCTAACACCAACGCAGAGGCCTGAGTGGAAACCGATAAGATGAAGGACAAAAACTAAAGTGATCTGGATTTCCATGCTTTGATTTTTTTTTTTTGCTCAGCTTTATCGCAGTGTTCTCATCCGTAAATGTGCCGCGGAGGCGTCTTACCTGCGCATACAGTCGAGAGCCTGCGTGAAGACCTGCGGCGCCATGCCGTGTTCGTGCTGCAGGATCAGGCACTGCTCCAGGGTCACCGACATGGCCGTGCGGTCTTTGGCGCTTTTGCAGCTGGTGAAACGGACGCCGTTCAGCCGGCGACAAATCTGAGACGGAGGAGAAGAAAGAACCGTTTATTTATGTCTTATATTTAACACTGGATTATGTCTTGTCTTTGTCAGAGACGTCACCTCGGCCGCCTGCCAGAGGACGTCCACGTTCTTGTTCTTCCTGGCGTGAACGTTCTGCCCCAGAAACCTCAGCAGCTCGGGGAGACAAGTCTGGGAACGAGACCTCGGGAGGCCTGAGGGAAAATTAAATATGGAGAAAACTATTTACTGAACCTGTTAAAAATGATTGTGGAGTGAAGTCAAATAAATGGTTCTCAGGTTGGAGCACTTACAGTCCTCAGCCAGGACTTCTTTGAACTGCTCGTAGTACGAATTCAACCTGGACAGACTCTCCAGGTTGATGATCTCCTGCAGGGACGTGTCTCCGAATCTGAACAAGAAAAGAAATGGATCTGTCTCCGTGCACAGTCCTGACTTCTAAGTGAGTCATTACTCTGCTCGCTGACTCGACGTTTGTGCTGAAACATTTTCTCACTCACTTCTCCGCCAGCGTCTGCTGCTCGTTGATGCCGACGTTGAAGTGCACCGGCTGAACCCTCAGCAGCATGCCGCTCTGGATCTCTCGAGGCAGAGCGTCGAACATGGTCCCCGGCAGCGGGATGCGGACATTGAAACCGTCTCGGTTCCCGGTGATGATGGGCAGCATGTCGGGCGCCGAGCTGCCGGTGGCCTGGGTCACCTTATGAAGTAGAGGAAGAGTGTTTTCATGATTCATGAGTAAATTCCGCTGCTGCACATGAAGCAGCTTCAGTTTAATGCAAAAGGCTGCAGCCACTAAGTGTTTACATGGACGTGATATTGTCGCTGTGACTCTCTCATGTCTGAGTTTCACTTTAATACAATAATTCTTGATTCTCTCACTAACCACCAAAGATTAACGAAGTGAAAAAGCGTGACGGTGTGATTCTTACACATATATATTCTACACACACGGGTTTTTACCTTGAAGGTGACGTTCCTCAGATCCATGATGCCGACGCTCATGTCCTCCAACATGGCCAGCTCCTCTCCTGAAACACATTTATAACAGAATGACCTGTAATAATGAACTCTCTGCAGGTAAATGTAAAACCTGTCAAACCCGTTTCAACTTCAGAGCAAATTAAAATATAAAACGTGTGGTTCGCTGTAAATAAAGATCCTCTGTGTGTGTTTGTACCGTAGGTGCTGAGCAGGGACTCGTACTGAGCCAGGAGGCCGATGGTGTAGAGCTGTCGGAGGAATCCATTGTCACGGAGACAGTTCCTCAGTTTGATGATGAAGCCGCAGATGAGAGCGGTGAGCTGCAACACAAACCACGCAAGTTAGAGTGAGAGAGCGGCTCTGAAGGTGAAGAAATCCCTTCTTTCCTGTCTCTCTTTCTTCTGTTTCAGTCTGTTGAGGTCATAAATAAGAGCTGGACCTCCATCGTCCTCGTGTTTTACGATAATCACACATTCGTGAACTTTTGGTCGTCACCCCCTCGCTGCGAGTCATTCAAGCGCATTAACAAAAAGCCAAAAATACACAATTATGTAAATGCTGATGTAAACGTGTGTGGGAGAGTAAATGTCATGCTGCTGTGAGTGTGTGTGTGTGTGTGAGTGCTGACCGTCTGGCAGAAGACGACGTCACGGCGGTACTGCAGAGACAGGTCCATGGCTATCGTCGGGGCGCTGTCCTGCATCAGCAGGAAGACCATGGACTTTTTGGCCTTGTCGCTCATCATGGCCACACACTCGGTGAGCGTGGTGAGGAGAGGGTACAACGCCTCGCTCCACTCACCTGGCACACACACAGAAAACAAACAATACACGAGGTTAGACAGAACACGACTGAACATATAGGAACGTTAACTCAGTTGCTGTCAAACACAGTGAAGCTTTCAGTTACATTTGATATTTTTAGACCTTTAAGGACAGAGACAGGAAACAGATGGAACAGAAGCAACAAGGAAAGCAGAAGCGTTTCGTTACAATCTAAACCTGCAGAAAAAAAACTTTATTTTACCCTGGAGACGCTCTACATTTACATTTCCCATTAAAACATTCGACTGTTTTTGAAACTTGAATGTACTACACCATATAAAAACTTTATTTCTTGGTAAACAGCTTCAGGCCGGATATTAACATCCGCCCTGAGAGATACAATCACAAGTGAACTGCTCTAAATTCATCTTTGTGTCAAAAAGCACTTTCGAATGTGGTCTGAGTGATGCGTCAATGCATCCTGGGTGGTTTCAGATCAGTCCAGTCTGACGTATTTTATCTCTGCCCACATCTCTCATGTTGAGAGGCGGGGGGGGGGGAGGGAGGCAGCTCTTACCTGGATACGCCTCCTCAGCACTGGGGCTTCCATCTAGAAGAAGGGATGGAGGTGCAACATGCATGGTTAGCGAGCGCTGCGAGCCACACGAGGCAACAGAGACACAAACACATAGAACACAGCAGACCAGGGTGAAACATCTACTCACAGCCCAGTTTTCTTATAACTTAAAACTTGTTTGGATTCATTGAAGAAGACAGAGATGTTCAGTAGTTTTCCATTTCTTAAAACATATGCAACTAAAACATGATGTGAAATGAAAGGAGGAGGAAAAAGAAACAGAGGAAAAGAAAAGAATAAAAGAAACGTACAGGACTCTTGTTCAGGATGAGTGGAGGAGAGGGCCGGGAGAGAGGATGAGGATGGTGGTGGAGGTGATGATGAAGGTGGAAGTGGGGACGATGATGATGATGATGGAGACTCCTCTGACTTATTTTCTGGGTTGATCCAGAACGCTCGTTTTTTTCCTCTGACACCTTTTCCCACACAGAGCACATCACAGCATCCTGTGATTCTGGACTTTGAAATTAAATATTGTTCAGTTTCACTTTGTGGTTTGTTTGTTTGTCACTTACCTTTCTTGCTGCTGCCGCCGCCCTGCAGGTCACTCTGGGTACTGTCCTGACTGGCATCGCTGGGCCTCCTCTCTCTCTGGAGCAGTTTGTCAACTCGCTGGATGATGCACTCCAGAGATTTATCCACATTCACCCAAACCTTCTCCTGGAGGAGAACGAGCGAGAGGCAACACACTGAGTTCTGTGCTGTGACTTCTCTTTCACATTTTAGGTTCAAATCCCAGAAAGTCCCGTTGTTGTTGTTTGTGTTTCCTGGTTAACGAACTCACCCATTCCTCCTCGTGCCAGTCTACATGTAGCGAGGATCGGCTGTTGCGCCCGCTCCACTTGGCGAGAAGCGTGTCCTGGTCGTTACGGAGGACCACTTGTTCTGAGTCGGCGGAAGGAGACGCTTTGGAGGCGATGTACTCCGGCCGTGCTGCGTTCAGGGCCTGAATAGCTGAAGCCAGCAGCTTACAGTCGCACACTGTGACCAGCTGACGAGTCTGAGAATTGTCAGATCAAATTTAATAAAGTTAAATACATGATACATTTGATTTAGACGCAGAGAAAACCAAATGTCTTTCTATAAATTGTGGTCGTTGCATCTACAATCCATCGTTGACCCATTCGTCTCAGTCCCTCACCTTGTCAGCCAGAATGGCGAGCGTCCTCTCCAGTCCGCTGGCCGATCGGTCCTTGGCAGCTCGGGACAGCCTCTCAGCGTAGTAGCTGACCTGCGTCTTCAGCGTGTTGATGTGGGCGATGATCTCTTTGGCTCGGACGATGTCCTGGGGTATGTAGACGATGGACTGCGAGCTGGAGAGGGCGCTGCTGCGAGAAGCAGAGACACATGAGGTCTTAGCACATAGAACATGAGACGAGATGGTCGTTATGTCTTAAAGGCTCCAATTTTTCAAAAATGATTTATGTCCGATGAGGGGAAGAACAATCACTTGGCCTTGGTTAACTCTGCAGACATGATATCTTTGCATGCACATGCCTGAACACTGATCTTTACTGGTCTAAAGAAACTTCTACAGATAAACACAAGACAACATGAAACTTACTGAGGGGGGG